TTCCAAAAGACCCCCGGCCACAGCACAGATAATACAAGATCACAGAGAGCATATATAGCAAAGATGGCATAAAGCTATCTCTTATGTATATGTTTTGCGACAGACCCTGGCTCAAGAAAATAATACTAATAATAATCATAATAATTAGAAAAAATTATCTAAAGATAGCCTTTAGTTTTAATATTTTTAACTCCTAGAGCATATTCTAAATGTTAAACCTACTTGTAAATGATATTTTCAAACGCACTACGACTTTGATGCTTTTTTACTGTTGGGTTGAGTTGTTTGAAGCAAAATTTGATGTACTGTTAAATATAGTCAAAAGTTGGGAGCCCATACCTAGGGGTGTAAACGGATATTAATCGGATCGGATGTGCCATTACCAAATCCGTATCCGTTTATTTTTGTCGGATATCGAATTCGGATACGGATCTTGACGGATACTGAAAATCAAAACCGTATCCGCATCCGTCGGATATCGGCCGGATATCGGATAAATCCGTATCCGTTTCTAATTTTTAAAATCAAATTAAACAATACTTTAATTTTAAATTAGATTAAAGTCAAACTATTATTAAATCAACTGTATGTTGGTATGAGATTATTATTTTCTTTGTTATCATGATTTATAATATTTTACGATAACTTCATATGATAAAACGATATACACAGCACACATATACACATATTTCTATATGTCTGTATTTATTTTTGTGTGTACACATTTATTTTGTATATAAAAATGTCTTATATTTTGAAATATCAATAGAGAAACAAATTATAAACATAAAAAATTAGGAAAAACTATATATAACGGATCGGATATTCGGATAAACGGTTATTTAAACGGATGCATATTCGGATCGGATTTTAAACGGATCGGATATACAATTACCAGATCCGTATCCGTTTAGTAATCGGATATCCTTAATCGGANAAACGGATACGGATGCGGACGGTAATCGGATTTTCGACTATCCGTTTACAGCCCTACCCATACCCACATTTAGGTTGTAAAGTGCCTTTATTACTATCGTGTGTATTCTTTGTAACTATACATACTCTAAAATCATCAATATTTAAAGCTCATTACACCGTGGACTTTCCTAACTAGGAGTTACCATGAAAATTAAGTTTTGATCTTGAGAGCTATTTTATATTTTTCTCGTTGATTTCTTCATATCTGCATCTAGTTTGTTGTGTGAGTGAGCGCGATCCTAACAACTATATCATCCCATAAGGACATAAGGTACAAGTAACTTTCACTTGTTTGAGAAATTTTTATTACAAATATTAGATATAATAATGTACTTCCCTCATCCGAAAAAGATCTTTCCAAATGCCCTATTTTTGTTCGGAAAAAATCTTCTCATTACTTTTTGTAACATTTGAAATACCAGAACTACCCTCACTCTCTATTAATTACACCTCACTCATCTCATTTAATATACTCCACCCACTTTCATTAAGGGTAGTTTCGTAAACTTCCACCTTTTTTAACTCTCCTTAAAAAACATGAAAAGACGACTTGAGAACATCTTTCCCACACAAAGGGAGTAACTTTTAAATTTAAATGAGACTTTTTTTAGCTAAAAAAGAATATTCAAATACGACTCCTTTGATGGGATAGAGAATTTCATTAAGAGGCTCATGTTTTAACACTATAAAACATAAAACTGACAGCCATATAAATAAGATTACTTATTCTCTATAAATAAAAAAACAAAATATTTTCTATTACACAAACCAAAAGCTAGTACAACGGAAAAAATAGTAGGTGGACAATTCACCCCATCAACTAAGGTAGGCAAAGAACGATGAGCTAAGGCTAACGTATGAGGGACTTTGTTTGTTGATATTTTAGGAAAACTGATAGACAACAAAGAAAAAACTTGTGCAAGAGTTTTACAAACGTGAATAAAAGACTCAAAAAAGAACAATTATTGTTATTACGTTTAAGCACAAACTTTAGCGACAAATTATTTATCTCTACTTGTTAACTGTTAAAGAGCATCCCACATCAGAAAAGTGTGAGGAAATTAATCGGTATATAAGCTCTTGAGTTGAACTAACTAATCGATTGGATTCAATCTTTTAATGTGATTCAACCCAAGTGTCTTATTGCCCAATCCAGTTGTCCATACCCATCCTAAATCCTATCATGGTATCAGAGCAGGTTTTGGCCCACCTCATTTGTCAAAGGTGTCCGTCTAGACGTTCATTCCTAGCGGCCCATTAGTCTTTAGCCAGTTGTCTGTATGGAGTATGCACCCAACGGCCTGTGGCCCGTTTAACATGATTGCTCGTTTGGAAGACCATAGCCAGCGGCTCGTGGTCCTTTAGGTGTTGGCGCTCAAAAAAAAAAAAGAAAGTCAAGGGAATGGGAGTTCATTTACAAGTGGTCAACCGATTAGATTCAAAATGGCCCGGTTGTCCACTTGAGGGGGAGTGTTCAAGAGCATCCCACATCGGAAAAGTGTGAGGAAATTAATCGGTATATAAGCTCTTGAGTTGAACTAACTAATCGATTGGATTCAATCTTTTAATGTGATTCAACCCAAGTGTCTTATTGCTCAATCCAGTTGTCCATACCCATCCTAAATTCTATCATTAACATTATAAGTGTTTGATTGCAAAGTGTTCATGCGTTTGAAAGTTCTTAATCGTGAATTATAGTCTCTTTAACCTTCTCAATTACATATTTCATTCTATGCAAGATGAACCCCAAGGGCAGTACTCTACCTTCTTATTCGAAAATGGAGGGAGCACAGTACATCTAGGCAAAAAGGCAAGTTACAAGCAATACAGAAGAGTTTCATCGTATCTATGGCACTTTGAATACAATGGGTTGACATTGAGTAGGGGCGGACCCAAAAATATTAGGTCATGGGATCTCATTCGTGAAAATTTGTACCCACATGCCACACGTCGAACATTAAGTAAAAAAGTAAGTAACTCATAAGACTAAAGGTTACATATAACTTGAAAATTATGAAATCGATTGAAAATCAATAATAGTTTTACATTGCACATATAAAATATATCTCAGAATTGGTAGCATCTACTTTTCATATTTTGAAAGTGGTTTATTATAACATCATCGCTCATGGTTTCAAAAATATCTTTTTTTATGTATGTCACTAGACAATCATTGGTTTGTTCTAACAGTTCATTTGAACACGAAAAAGCATTTACTCATTTGATTCAAGCTCTTTGAATCTTAGCCTCTTTTTTAAAATACCTTTGCATATTAAACAAATTCAAATATTTTAAAAATCAATAAGTTACATTTCATTTGAACTTTACCAATTAAATTAATTTAAAAAACTAAACTTTCATAATGTTCATACGGAAATTAAGCTCATCACAACTAACAAATTTATAGTTTACAAATACACAAAAATCACAGATCTCGCAATTGATAATTGTTACAATATTCAAAGAAACAGAGAGTATTTAGGCTGATAATACAAACTGCAAGAAGTAACACTGATTCGAGATGGAGGATTTACCTGGGAGGTAGCAAGGTCGCACGGAGCACTGAAGGCCGTGTGCTTAGCGATGGAGACTGCAATAGCGCAACCCTCTCTAGCCGAATTGAAGTCAGGATATTTGGGAATTAAGATATTTAGGTTTTAATAAATTTAAAAAATCTGTCAAAAAAAATACTTCCTCCGTAAGTAAAGTTCACGTTAAGCATTGCAACGTGACTGTGGCGGAATATTTTCAAATCGTTTTATATGAAATTTAAAAAATTTACGGAGTATATATATTTTTAAAAATTACATGAAAAAATCTAAAAAAACTATAAGTGACATGACTATATTATTTTATCAAATTGAACATGAAAATAAGTTAACAAAACACATAGAGTTTGACATTGTCAACCGTGAATTGAAACTTAAGAGAGTCAGAGAATGCAAAACTATTTGGGATTTTGTTTGACTAGTTCAATCGGTCCAAAAAACTCAGACTGCAAGACTTAGATCGAACCGAAGTAAAGTATTTTGTAATATCAGTCCCCCACTCCCCCATTCAGAGGCGGACATATCCCTTAAGAGCATCTCCAACCATGTTAAAACGACTTGCTACATGCTACAATTTGACAAACTAAGTAAAATTTCATACTCCAAGGGGCTTGCTAATGTTTGACAAGCTTGCTTAAAAATGAAAATGACTTGTTACTAATAACAAACTTGATAAAATATAGCAAGCCAAAAAGAAGAACAAAAATCTTGGTTGGGTTAGTTTTTTCATGTGCCATGAACGCAAGAAAAATTAATAAATATTATTTCATGTTTTTTACAAAAAATAAATGTATTTTTTACAAAAAAAAATTATAAAATTTATTTTATTTTAAGTTTAAATTGATTACTTGTAGAATATTAATTAAGTTTTATAATAAAATTTTAAAATTATAATAAATAGTGTACTCTAATAGTGAAATTAATACATTTTTGCTAAATTATAGCAAGCAAAGGTTGGAGATGATCATGTAAAATGACTTGCTATACCACTATTCACATGTTAATAAATAACTTTAGCAAGCCATGTTTAGCAAGCGTGATTGGAGATGCTCTAAGAGTAGGGGGCAATGGCCCCCAGCTAATTTTTGGATATTAATGTTAATTTTTTAAATTCTTTACACTCACTTATTGTTTGACCCCAATTAAAATCAAAGGGACTCCAACTAAAGTGTGTTTCAATGTCCTCCCTTCGTTCCTCAGTATTTGTCGAGTATTCTTTTTTGGACTGTCCCTGAGTAGTTGTCCATTTTCCGATTAAGGTAAGAAATATAATATGAAATGTCACTTATGCCCTCATTTACTACCTTCCTCGCCCACATTCACTGATTTTCTCCCCCTTAACAGGGATAATCCCTTCTGCTCTCACTTCTCTTCACATTCATCTCTCTCTCTCTCTCTCTCATCGTTCCTGAAGTGGGTGTCTTCTCCAACATATGGAGTATCAATGTTTCTGAAGCTGGATGTCGGAGTGGGATGGCGGCCGGATGTCTTTGACGGTGAGTTGGAGTTGGATGTCTTCTGCCGTTAGATCTCTTCTCAAGATCTATATCCGAATTTTGATGTCCAATTTTTTGTTTCTTGATTTTGCTTTTGCTATGAAATTTGGGGTTTTAATCCATTTTGAATTCTATACATAATGTTTGTTTTTGAAATCTAGATCTAATTTCTAGATCGGAAATTAGAGCATTTGTTTTCTCCTCGTCTGGTTTCTCTAGTCTAAGCCTAATCCATGTTTTTGCTAGTTTTTGTTTATTGATTTTGAGATTGGCGTTACATGGGCCGTGGCTTGACATCATATCAATAGTGGAGGACGTCTGGATGACGACGGATCGGGAGGCTGGGTAGATGGAATAGGTTGGGGCGATTGAATGACCGTAGGTGGCAAAGGAAATCAACAGGTAGTTCAAGGGCAATTGTGTCACTTCACTCATCACATTGGTTTGTGAGCCAAAATGAAAGTGAACAAATATTGGGAGACGGAGGGAGTATATAATTACGGAGTAATATTTTATAACATAAAATTTTAAATTATCTGTTCAAAAATTCACATCAAAAAATATTTGAAATTTTTTAAACTTCATTTATTATTGTATTGTGTATTAAAAAAACTTAGGCACTTCCTCTAAACCCGACCTTTTGTGCTCCCAACTATTTAAAATTCTGGATCCGCCACTGCCCCCATTCATCTTCTTAATGATTCGTTTGGTTGGAGTGAAAAAAAAGAAGGAAAGAAAATGATATTTTCTCTTGTTTGGTTGAAGAGAGAAAGTAGAGAGGAGAGAAAAAAAGATGAATTTCATGGAAAAGAAAATTCTCTCCACTAACGGAGAGAAATTGAAGAGAAAAAAATGAAAAGACTATTATGTCCTTTATAATAATAGATGCTTATATTTTAACTTAAATTACATAACTAGTCCTTTATAACAGAGAGTTTTCCATATTTAGGCAGCATTTCGTTCAATTTATTTTTTTCTTATTACTTATTTTTATTAAAATCACATCAGATCAGAACAGATCAGATCATATCCAATTAGATCAGATGAGATCCAATCAGATCAGATCAGATTAGACCATATCTAAACAAAATTATTATTATTATTACTATTATTACTTCTATTATTAGTATTATTATTACTATTATTATTAAAATTATGATTATAATTATTATTACTATACTATTATTATTTTTACTATTAATATTAATAATATTATTATTCTTACTATTATTATTATCATTACTATTATTATTATTACTAACATTATTATATTTATTATTACTATTATTATTATTACTATTACTATTATTATATAACTATTATTATTTCTATTATTATTACTAAAATTATTTTTACTATTGTTATTATTATTACGATTACTATCGTTACTATTATCATTAATACTAAAATATTATTACTATTACTATTATTATTATTATTTATATTATTATTATTATTTCTATTATTATTGTTATCACGATTATTATTAGTATTTTTATAGTTACTATTATTATTAATTTTATTATCAATATTTCTATTTTCTATTATTATTTATTTTATTATTATTACTATTATTATCAGTATTATTATTATAGTTATTATTATTACTATTCTTATTACTATTATTATTATTACTACTAGTATTATTATTATTACTATTATTATTATTATAACGATTATTATAACTATTATAATAAAAATTTTAATTTAATTTTAATCAAATTTATATCAGATCAGACCACACCAGATCATATCAGATGAGATTCAATCAGATCAGATTAGATCCAATTAGATCATATCAGATCAGACTAGATTTGATCAGAAATTCAAAAAATCAGATCAGATTAGATCAGGCGAATGGAACGTAGTCTAACCTTCTATTATCAAATATTGCCTCATGGTCCTTATTTTATGATTACCTTTCTACAAATAGTTCTTTTTTATCTTTTTTTATTTTGATGTTAATTTGAGGGCTAAAAGTTTAATTTCACATGAACACTATGTTCCAGTGACGTATTCTGATACTCCCTCCGTCCCGGAGTATTCGTCCAGTTTTGACTTTTGGAACTGTTCATCTAAGCACTTTAACTCATCAAATTCTCTCAATGTGTAAGCCTAAATATAGTCATGTGTGATCTTGTTTGATTTGTCTTAACATATAGATTATTAATATATAATTTCTATAATTTTTTAATATACAAATTACAAGATAAAATGGATTAAAGAAGTGTATTGGATGATGTGTAAAAATGAAAGTGGATAAATACTCTGGGACGGAGGTAGTATTAGTTAGACAGACAACTCACCATGCATTAATGACTATGAACGTAGACTGGGATTTCGACGAAAAGTCACATCTGTAGACTATGAATGATAGAAGATCAAAAAAGGACTATTTGTGAAAAAGTACTCATAAAAAAGGACAATCAGGATAATATTTGATAATAAAGAAGATTAAATAAGGAAAAATCATGTTATAAAGAACCAACTATAAAATTTACTTTATATTTTACTTCGTATTACAGAGTATTTTATGATACGGGTGTAAAAGTAATTCTACTTTATTACTTTTTTCCTTTTCACTTTTTCTACTTAACCGAACAAGGGAAATGAAATTTAACATTTTTTCTCTTCATCTTCAATTCACACAAACAACAAATTTTCTTTCCCAGTTTCTTTTAATTTTCTTTCAAATCATTTTCTTTTCTCTCATTTTCTTTCTCCTCGTTTTCTTTTATGATCCAAACAATGGTTAAATGTCCTTTTTTACAAAAAAAAGTTCATTATTTTTTAAATATTTAAAAAACCATAACTATTCGTACTTAATTTATTTTTAAAAACAATGACTAAATGTCAACCACTCAACGTATGCTCCAGACTAATCATTAATGGAAGCACCACTTGTGAAAATGTTTTTTAATAGAATAAATTACTCCGTAATTAGGAAAAAAATTACACCATTATTCCAACAAATTCTATATTTTAAGCTAATATTCGCAAATTTAATACTCCAACCGCTCATATTTTCCTATTATTACTCTTCACGCTATCTCACTTGTCCAATCACGGTATTTTAAGCCAAGGTTTTTTTTGACGTGCCTCATTTTCTTTTTAGACCCTTGTTTTTTTACTGCAACATGTCCCACTGGTTTTTTTTTTTCTAACTGGAGGACAGGTCCGCCAATATTTTGCTCCCTTAGTCCCAAAAAAAATTTCTACTTTGATTAACGTGCAAACCCCATAGATTTTAAAATTATTTAATTTGCAAATTTTTAAGGAAATAACACATAAAAAATTATATTTGAAAACTACATCGAAAACTCTACAAAATAAGATATGACAGGAATGTTTTTTTATCAAATGATCAATGAAAACACACAAACAAATAAGAGTTATTGAGAGACCGGAATAGTAAACACGAAAGACTTTTTGGGACATAGGGAGTTTTTTTCTTTTTTATTTTTTATGCTCTAGAACTCTATCTCTATGTTTGGTTCAGGAATTTTGAAGGAAAAAAAAAGAAAATGGTTCTATTTCATTTTTCTCACCAAAATGAAAGAAATTTGTTTTTCCATCCTCTTAGTTATTTTGCTTTCTCATTTTCTTTTCCTTCCACTTTTATTTTATTCATTCATTTCTAACCAAACAAAGAAAAAAGGGTTTCCTCCTATTTTAATTTCTTTTTTTTGAAAGTCTATTTTAATTTCTTTTCCTGATAGAATTTAAAATGGGGTAGGGATATGATCACTAGATTGGGTAACAAGACATTTGGGCTGAACCACATTAAAAAATTGAATCCAATCGATTAGTTAGTTCAACTCAAGAGCTTATATACCGATTATTTTGCTCTTGAACTTCCGATGTGGGAAGACACTCTAACACTCCCCTCAGGTGGACAACCGGACAATTTTGAATCTAACCGATTGACCACTTGATAATAAACTCTCATTTCCTTAATTTTTTTTAGCGCCAACGCCTAAAGGACCACGAGCCGCTGGGTATGAACTTCCAGACGAGCAATCGTGTTAAACGGGCCACAGGCCATTGGGTACATACTCCATACGGACAACTGGGCTAAAGTCTAACGGGCCGCTAAGAATGAATGTCTAGACGGACACCTTGACAAACGAGGTGGGCCAAAACCTGCTCCGATATCATGATAGAATTTAAAATGGGGTAGGGATCACTGGATTGGATAACAAGACACTTAGGCTGAACCACATTAAAAGATTGAACCCAATCGATTAGTTAGTTCAACTCAAGAGCTTATATACCGATTATTTTGCTCTTGAACTTCCAATGTGGGATGACACTCTAACATTTCCTTTCTCTATAAAAAATCCAAGAACCAAACACAGTATAGAATTGGGTGAATAATGTACCGGTTTTTCATATTTGTTTTAAATTACAGCACATGTATCACATGGTTTCCATATTTATTAGTACGCCGTAAAATGAAGATTTAGTTGGGGCATGCTAGGGGTACACCAAAATGGAATATCCCATTTCTACACCAGGCAAACATAAGTATCTGTGTTTGTCGGGTGTACAAATGGAGTATCCCATTTTGGTGTACCCTGATACGGACCGGGTGGACTCGGACCACGGGGAAGAAGCTGGGCCTGTCGCTCCTACGGTCGTGCGACGGTCGCAAAGGGTCGTTGGGCCACCCCAACGATACAAGGATTATATTCGTCGTTAATTATCATTTTGTCGATTAATTATTATTTTTATTTCAATTACTCATATCATTTATTTGTACTCTAGATTTTTATTAGGTGAGCGAAACTATAAGCTCCTTCAAGGGTTTTCTTTTCGGTTCTTTCCCTTGACGCCTTTTTTTGAACCGACAGGGTAGAATTAGGGTTTTCTTTATTTCCTATAAGTATGTCTCGTATCTACCAAAGCAATGCATGGAAATAAGAAATTAGAATAGTTTTAGTAAATCTTCTCTCTAGCTCTCCTTCGGTTACGTACACCAACCCTAGCGGCCGTCACCTCGTCGTCCGCCGATCAACCCTTATCATCTAGTGCTTTCATTCTGAACTCATGTCTACACCAATTCCCTCCTCCGACGATCAGCCGTCCGGCACTTCCCTTACTATGGCAGACCTCATGCGGGCAATCAACAATCTGGGAAAAGAGTTGGAAACCACCAAATCCCAGATCGCCAAAGAATTGGACACCACCAAGAGTCGGGTGGCAGAGCTTTTGGCCGCTGCACATCCGCTGCCCCATGAAGACCTACGGCGCCCTCCGCCGTACCGTCCCCCGCCGGCTGCATGGCGGCCGCCTCCATCTCGCACGTCACAGCTCGTCCCCACGGCGGATCCTATTCCTCGCATGCGCCTTGATGCTCCCCGATTCTCAGGCGAGGATCCGGTTGGTTGGATTTTCCGGATTCAAAAATACTTTGACTATTTTCTCACACCGGAGGTCGAACGTCTTCACTTGGTGGCCATGTTGATCGACCACCCCGCGTCGGAATGGTTCCGCTATTACCAGGCAAATAATTGCAACGTCTCTTGGATGTCGTTCTTGCTTGCGGTCCGACAACGCTTTGACCCCGACTACTATGAGAACTATATCGGGCTGCTCTCCAAACTACACCAAACCACCACGGTCATGGAGTACCAATCTTCTTTTGAGACTATCTTGAACAAGGTCGCGGGCGTCCCGGAACCCACACTTATTGCCATGTACATCGCTGGTCTCAAGCAACCCGTTCAACGCGAAGTGAATCTCCGTACCCCGGGCACACTACAAGAGGCTTTTGCTTTGGCACGCGAGTTGGCAGCGAATTACCAGGACATTCATTCTGCCTACGGCTCGTCGGGACGTCGGTTTTGGTCAGCTCCACGGCCGGCTGCAACGTCCTCCCCCGCCGGTCCATCTTCCTCCCTGGCTACACTGGCTATTCCCTCTGCGGCTACCCACTCTAACAACCGTCCAATCACGTCCTTACCTATCGTGCGGCTAACCAACGCGGAAAAGGCGGAACGCGGCAAGAAGGGGCTTTGTTGGTATTGTGACGAGAAGTGGGGCCCAACTCATCACAGCAAACGGCGTTTTCTGGCCCTCATGGGTCCGGATGAGGAGGACATCAGCTCGCTGGAGGATCACAGCGACCAACCACTCACAGATGACTTGGTGATCACGGGCGATATTTCGAGCATGCATTCTTTATCGGGGAGCCCGAATCCGCGTTCCCTCCGTCTTACTGGCACCATTCAAAATTCATCCGTTCACGTCCTATTGGATAGCGGGAGCACTCATAATTTTATTCATCCGGCAGTTGCAGAATGCCTTTCTCTGGTGCTTCACCCCGTGACACCCTTTCGGGTCTATGTCGGGAATGGGGAATCCCTTCGGTGCGCTTATTCTTGTCCCCAAACCTCCATTACTTTGCAGGGGCATATCTTTGCAATTGACTTATATTTGTTGGAGATCCACGGATCGGATGTCGTGCTCGGTGTTCAATGGCTTCAAACGCTAGGCAAGGTATCTCATGATTATGCCAATTTGACCATGGAATTCACTTGGAATGGCTCCATTGTTCAGTTACGTGGTGACACACCATACCCTAGGCCAATTTCATATGGTACCCTCTGTACTATGGTGGCGGCTCACCTACCCTTGGAGTTTTATGAAATTATCACAGCCCCTACACCCTTTGCTAGTGATGCTACTGCCACCTCAGTCCCGGAGTTCCCCACGGATGTTCCGGCAGAGATTAAAGCTATTCTCCTCCAACATGCCGACGTCTTCAACACCCCTACCACACTCCCACCCGGTCGGGAATGGGATCACCGGATTCACTTGGAGCCGAACACGAAGCCGGTTAACGTCTGGCCGTATCGTTATCCGTACTTTCAAAAGACGGAAATTGAGCGTCAGGTGTAGGACATGTTGCAACAGGGTATCATACGGCCTAGTCAGAGTCCGTTCTCTTCCCCGGGTACCACCAAATACGGATGTACGAGGCGGACATTTTTAAAATGGCATTTCGGACCCATGAAGGACACTATGAATTCTTGGTAATGCCTTTTGGCCTCACGAATGCTCCGTCAACTTTTCAGGCTACCATGAACCAAGTTTTCCGCACCCACCTCCGGAAATTTATCATCGTTTTCTTTGATGATATACTTATTTACAGTCCGGATATGGATACCCACGCCGCCCACCTCGCCACGGCCTTGACAGTGCTTCGCGCCAATTCTTTTTTTGTGAAATTGTCTAAGTGTGCCTTTTGCAAGACCACTATAGACTATTTGGGGCATATTGTTACGGCGGGGAATCTCAAGGCTGACCCGTCCAAGATTTCGGAAATGGTTAATTGGCCTCAACCCAAGACCGTGACACAGCTACGGGGTTTCCTCGGCCTCACCGAATATTATCGGAGATTTATTGCGGGTTATGCCGCCATCGCCGCCCCGCTTACGGAACTACTGAAAAAAGAGAGCTTTCTATGGACACCCACGACTGGGGAGAGTTTCCAGCGTCTCAAGGACGCAATGGTTTCGGCTCCCCTCCTTCGCCTTCCGGATTTCACTCGGACCTTCTACATCGAAACAGATGCTTCTGATTTCGGGATTGGGGCCGTCCTTCTGCAAGATGGTCACCCCCTGGCCTTCTTTAGCAAGAAGCTTGGACCACGACGCCGGGCTGCTTCAACGTATCATAAGGAGTTGTACGCCATTGTGGAGTCCGTACAAAAATGGCGTCAGTATTTGCTCGGCCGTGAACTTGTTATCCGCACCGACCACCGTAGTCTTAAAGATCTGTTGTTGCAAATTATCCAAACGCCGGACCAACAATTCTACATCCGGAAGCTCATGGGGTTCAAGTTCCGCATTGGATACAAAACTGGGGTCTCCAATAAGGCCGCGGATGCACTGTCCTGGCGTGACACAGAGGAGGAGGAGCCCGCTGCCCAGTTTACAGCCCTTTCTCAGCCCATTCCCCTCCTACTGGATGCCGTGCGTATGGAGCATCAGACTAAGCCAGATGTGCTGACCTTAAAAGCAGGGGTTGCGGCCGGCACAACTGCTCCGGCGTTCACAACCCATGACGGGCTTCTTTATTACAACCGACGGGTTTATATCAGCCCCGATTCCACTATACGTGAACAGCTTTTGGGTGAATTCCATAACACTCCACTCGCGGGACACCAAGGGGTCGAGCGGACTTTTCGCCGATTGGCGGCGGTGTTTTATTGGCCGGGCATGCGTAAGGATGTACGAGCCTTTATCGCGGCATGTGCCCCGTGTCAAGCGACCAAGTATTCTACGCAACGCCCGGCAGGTCTTCTTCAACCATTACCCGTACCCGACCGCGTATGGGACTCCGCTTCAATGGACTTCATCACCGGCCTCCCTCCCTCGCGCGGGTACACGGTCATCTTTGTGGTGGTCGACCGGCTGTCAAAATATTGTCACTTTGGCCCTTTACCTACAGACTTTGACGCACCACGAGTGGCTGCCCTCTTCCTTGATATGGTTGTCAAGCATCATGGGTTTCCTTTGGACCTCGTATCTGATCGGGACTCAATCTTCATGAGTCTTTTCTGGAAGGACCTATTTAAATTGAGCGGAACAACACTAAAATTCAGCACGGCTTACCACCCCCAGACTGACGGGCAAACGGAGGTCATGAACAGAGGGCTCGAGCAGTTCCTACGGGCCTTTACATTTGACAGCCCGGCAAAGTGGGCAACACTACTACCTTGGGCAGAGCTGGCCCTCAATTGCAGCCACCATGATGGTCTCAAAATCTCTCCTTTTCAAGCTCTGTACGGCTGGGAACCACCGCATCTGTTTGCCACCCTCTCCGTTCGTTCTAAGGTAGCGGCAATCAAGGAATTATTGATAGAACGGGCGGCTGTTTTGGACGAACTCAAGACCAACCTTCGCAAAGTGCAGCAACGAATGAGGGATCGCGCTAATATGCACCGGCGTGATGTGACGTTTCAAGTAGGTGATTTGGTGCTTCTAAAACTCCAACCATATCGCCAATACTCGGTGGCCAAACCCAAATCGGCTAAGCTGGCTCGGCGTTTCTACGGCCCCTTCGAAGTTATTGAACGTGTTGGGCCTGTCGCTTATCGTCTACGTCTTCCGACAGGTTGTCGCATTCACGACGTCTTTCACGTCTCCCTTCTTCGACCATTTGTAGCCCGGGACACCGGAATTCCAGCCCCTACCTTGCCTACTGACTTCTTCCAGAACCGCCCTTTGGCCGTTCCCTTGGCCGCTATTCGCAGTCGGACAGTCCTCGTCAACGGAGCACCGGAAGAGCAGTGGTTAATACATTGGTCCGAGGGGTCTGAGGATGATGCAACTTGGGAGCCCGTGAGTATGCTTCGTGAGCGTTTTCCAACCCTTCGCCTTGAGGACAAGGCGCTTTCCAACGGTGGGGGAGTTGATACGGACCGGGTGGACTCGGACCACGGGGAAGAAGCTGGGCCTGTCGCTCCTCCGGTCGTGCGACGGTCGCAAAGGGTCGTTGGGCCACCCCAACGATACAAGGATTATATTCGTCGTTAATTATCATTTTGTCGATTAATTATTATTTTTATTTCAGTTACTCATATCATTTATTTGTACTCTAGATTTTTATTAGGTGAGCGAAACTATAAGCTCCTTCAAGGGTTTTCTTTTCGGTTATTTCCCTTGACGCCTTTTTTTGAACCGACAGGGTAGGATTAGGGTTTTCTTTATTTCCTATAAGTATGTCTCGTATTTACCAAAGCAATGCATGGAAATAAGAAATTAGAATAGTTTTAGTAAATCTTCTCTCTAGCTCTCCTTCGGTTACGTACACCAACCCTAGCGGCCGTCACCTCGTCGTCCGCCGATCAACCCTTATCATACCCCTAGGGTTATCTGATTTAGTTTGCCGGTCTCGATATTTATTTTTTCCTTATAAATAAAGAGTGGGTGACAACACTATCAGTTTTTACACTCTCTCCGTCTCCATTTTGATTATAATTATAATTTCCCTCTCTCTCTTCTCGATAACTTTTATTTATTTGTATGTTTTCATTGATTGTTTGATAAAATAAAATATTCTTGTCAACTCTTGTTTTGTAAAACTTTTGATGTATTTTTTTAAGATGTGATTTTTAATTCTTATTGATGTACCAATTTGTAGATAGAACAATTTCAAAAATTGTGGAATTTTACTTCGCAATTCCCATTTTATAATCAAAATAAGGACGAAGGGAGTATTAATTTCATTTTTTAAATAACATTGGAACATACTGCCTATTTCTATATTAATTTATTTTAGAACATAATCAGCGAGGATGGACCTCCCCCAGGCAACCCATGGGCTCCTCACCATGTGCACCTCTAGCTGACATCGGTCCGATGCATGGATGCTTAGGGTTGGGTATACCCATACCTGAGATAAAGTCGGGGGAGACTTGAGAAAATGAATGGTTGTTCCTCAACCGAATGGACGTTGAGCAGGACTTGTTCGAAGTCGAGCCATCAACTCAATGTCCAACCACCCATCATAATGGTCGTACACTCATTTATTGCGGAGGCAGCGTCTGACTCATGTGCCAGCTACCAGCAACCACTACACAATGATCTACACTGTAGGCCCACGTCAAGGTTTCCCGTCAAAGCAATTCCCGCTAAACCCCTTATAAATCGAGAGAGGCGGAGAGGAGAATTCAAGAAAGAAACGACATCCTAGAGAGAGAAAGATAGAATATTAGGGCGATAAAAGCGATATACTTAGGCCCCGTTCCGTTCAACTTATTTTTTCTTATTTTTTCTTAATCTTATTAAAATCAGATCGAATCAGATCAGATCAAATCAGATCCAATCAGATCAGATCAGAATAGATCCAATCAGATCAGATAAGATTCAATCAGATCAGATCAGATCAGATCAGATCCCATTAAGAATTATTATTATTATTATTATTATTATTATTGTTGTTGTTGTTGTTGTCAATATTATTATTATTATTATTAAAAAAGAAAAAGAATAAACTTTATAAACAAGTTAAATAGAAAACTGAGAAAGTAAAAATCAGATCAGACCATATCAAACCAGATTAAATCAGACCAGATCAGATCAGATCCAATCAGATCAGATCAGATCCAATCAGATTAGATCAGATCAGATTAGATCCAATCAGATCAGATCAGATCAGATCAGAACTTATTAAAATCAGATCAGATCAGAAAAAATAAGTTGAACGGAACGGAGCCTTATTCGTATTTGAGTGAGACCCATCAGGCCACTCTTGTATAAAACCCAATTTTGAACTATTAAGTAGGGAAAGGCTTTACCCGAATTTGAGCATCCTCATGCTTAAACTCCAACATACAATGGGATATATTCTCAACCCATACTAGCAATTGCCATTTATTTATTTAATTTAAAATCTGCCAACACAACAACCCGCACTTTAATTTACCTTTTATTTAAGATTATAAATTATAGAGTATTTGTATTTCATACTTTTTTGTGTTCCCTGCGTTCTCAAAAACTCTTCCTCTTTTATTTTTTTATTTCCAATAAAACACTTCCACTTTCTACTAAAAAACCACTTTTACCCTTATTTTTTCATACCCTACCTATCACATCATACTTTTTCTCTAATACTCAATCCATCACATCTTACTTTTACCCATCACATCAAGAGCAAAATTGGAAGTCAACTACAATTTAACATTTTCTTATTTTTACACAAAGTCAAAATAGGAACACTTTTATAGAACGGATGGAGTATTACATATTACGGAGTATGTGTTAATAAGGAGTACACTTAAATTATCTAATTATTACTTTTGAGTATATATATTTTCCCACACTGTCTTTTACCATGATTCACTTTCATTTTCATAAATGGTCGTCACAAAGGGTAGATTGTCAAATGAGTAAAGTAAAAAATATCAAATATGGTGAATGGATGGAAAGAAGTGCGAATATATTATTCTTTAAATTTATCATTTAAAAAATAATTCTTTCTCACTTCTTTCCATCCATTCACAAATTTGGAATTATCTATTTTTTGGCTCTATCTTTTTGTTGGAAAAAATTAATACAAAAATTTAATTTTAATAGTTTGGAAAAATTACCCAAAATAATCCCAACTTTACCCGCTCTTTCAAAAATAGTCCCACCTTTCACTGTGATGCATAATAATCTCAACTTTACTGAAATTTGCCAGTTTTGGGTCACCATTAAGTTTCTACGGAGGGTTAACGGAAATGCTCGTTTTAGGCAACAAAATGAAAGTTGGGATTATTTTTGATGAATTTTCATTTTTTTAAAATTTTTCATTTAAATTTTTTAAATTACTTTCTACCTCCATATATATATATATATATATATATATATATATATATATATATATATATATGGGCCGATTCAGGAGAGAATGCACCTTGGTGAAAGAAATAAGAATAAAATCTAGGTTTTGGCTCTGATGCATCGTGCGGCTCAGATTGCATCCTGCACTCAGATTTTCAGATAGTGCATTTTTAAGGGATTTTAGTGCATTTCGACGTGATGCATTTTTAAACCATTTTGGTACACCTAATTTTGATGCATCCGATCTAAAGGCTAGATTTTATTCTTATTTCCTTCACCAAGGTGCATTCTCACCTGAACCGGCTATATATATATATATATATATATATATATATATATATATATATATATATATATATATATATATATATATATATATATATATATATATAGCCGGTTCAGGTGAGAATGCACCTTGGTGAAGGAAATAAGAATAAAATCTAGCCTTTAGATAGGATGCATTGTGCGGCTCAGATTGCATCATGCACTCAGATTTTGAGATAGTGCATTTTTAAAGGATTTTGGTGCATTTCAACATGATGCATTTTCAAACCATTTTAGTGCACCTAATTTTGATGCAGTCCTGACCCTTAGATCTCACAATCTAAAGCACCAGATTCATTCTTATTTCTTTCATAAGATCGCATTCTCATTTGAACATATATATATATATAAATATATATATATATATATATATATATATATA